AGTTTGGAGAGAAAAACAAAGTAAAGAACAACAAAAAAAAGAAAGCGATTAATCGATTATTAAATTAGTCATCGATTATTTTAATAATCGATTAGTCGTCGATTAATCGTTGCAGCCCTAATTTTTAAGCCTTGCACTACCTTTCTTTGGGGCGATCCTGGGTCCAGCATCAACTCTGGCTTTCCCGTCTCTCAGCATCTATACATGAGACACAGTCAGGGTGGTAACGCTCAGCTAACACTCATTTGGTTCTCCTCACATCTACAATCTGAATATTTTACCGCACMCACCTGTGCAAAGGACATGCAGTGCGAATCCTCCTCCACACTCCCCACAGTGGGTGTGGTGGACACACTCAGACTTGGGAATCTCATTCCATCTAAAACAAGAGAAGAAAGGAAATCAACAAACAATATCACTTTATTACATCACATACATCTCTGCACTGATTTCACTTGATCTTACCAGAAGAGGGACTGCAGCTGAGGGGTGATGGAGGGGCTAAAGTGAAATCAGGTTGGACTGGGGGGCTGCTGTTGTGAGGCGGAGAGCCAAATGCTGGGAAATGATGAAGATTCTCAAGTCCAATGTGCACCTCAGGATCTGAGAAACCATGTGAGAGAACAGAAATCACTCTGAAATCCTGAACCCAAAATAAAAAAGARGACATTTTGAGTCACAAACTGTACTTACATTTACCCTGCTTCTTATTCTCCTCCATCTCAATGCGCTTCTCTCTGCGTTTCTCATCTCTCGCTTTCTTCTGCCTCAGTCGCTTTCTTTTCTCCAAGTCATCTGAGAGTTTTACACAGTTTCAACACAGCAACACATAAAAACCGTCCCATAGGGAAAAACTTGAGTCTAAAACACTTCAAACCTGCAAACGTGTCCAGAGTCTCTTTGGACAGGATTGGCGGCTGCAGAGCCAACTCACAGATGCTGAACTCACATGTGAGCGGCAGGTGAGCCAGGTAGCGATTACGACGACGAACCTCCTGAGATGAAAAGTCACGAGAAAATTATTCTCTTAAAGCAGAAACCAGTAAGCCAGACTAATAAACTTAAAAATGTCACTTTAAGCAAAAGCCAGTGAGTGTGTGATGTCTGTCTCCGTTTGCTGACCTCAGTGACTGTGTGTCCCACTACCTCCACCACCCTGGCAGTGATGGTGTCAGGACACGCCTCCAAAGTGCCGTATTCACGCAACAGACAGCGCACGTTCACGGGATGCAGAAACATCTGCTGGCAGTCTTCAGCTGGAAGGAGAAGAAGAAAATAAAAGCATAAAACGAAGGAAACAATTAACTCAATCATACAACCTAAAAGAATTTAATGTGTAATAAATATAATTGTGGCTGCTAATTTGTGCAACGTTGTTCTTAAAAGCTAGTTCCTTTTTCTGAACAGATTTTGTCAACAGGGCGGGTTGGAGAGCTGAGAATGACACACCTTGGTAGAAATAATAATAAGGTCCGTGCACCACGTTGGTTGAAGGGTGCGCAGACTCTGCCTGGTTGGCGGGACTCTGCTCATGGTGCTGAGGCTCTGGGGCAGCGTCCGGCACAGCCTCGCAGGGCTCTTCCTCCGGGACACACTCCAGCGGTGCTCCAGAAACACCCTGCAGCTCTGCAGCCACGTCCTCTGTGAGCTCCTCCACCTCGTCATCAAACGCAGAGGCGTACTGCAGGACCGGCTGGGAGGGAAACAATACACAAGACTACATATGAAGAGGATATCACTTTAAAAGAGACAACAGTGAGATCTGATGTGGTTTAAAATTCACCTTGGCGCTGCTGATATTAGTCACCAGTTCCTCCACAGGGGAAGGAGCTTCCTTCAGAGTCAGTGAGGACAAATCAAAGCCGTGTGCATCCGTTTTTTGTTGGAACATTTCCTCTCGCTCCTGTAACYGACATTAAAACAGATATTATATTCCAAAACAGTAAAAAAAAAGGACTGAATGACAGAATCTATTTTCCTGCTCCAATCATAGGAGTTATAAAAGGCATTTGTTTCACCCTGAATCTCTCACATTGAATAATGAAAACAGATTTGCTGCAGTCAAATGAGCCTGTAGCTCTACCTGCAGGAGACAAAGGGCGCTCTGGATGAAGCAGCCCTGGGCCTCGTCTTCCAGGCTCAGCTGAGCCTGCAGGACTGCCTTCTCCTCTGTGACCAGGTTTAGGACTTGAGCTGGGGAGGTGAGCAGCAGCTTGGAGTACGGGCTGAAACAGGCATCTGCAAAAGAAATCTGATCATCAGGCTCTACTGAAACAGAGGTTCTAAACTGCCCTGACATGAAGCACATCCAGTCTGTTTGTTACTGTCAAACAGTCTTCTCTGCTTTCAAAAATTATTTAGAAAACATGAAATATTTCTGTACAATAAGTTAATTAACTGAATGTTATCATGTATAAATCATTATAATCACAGTAAACCATTAATGTYTTTTTTGTACCTCCAAGGCGTATAGGTTCCTCCACCTTCACCCACTGAGAGCTTGGCAGGGCCACCAGAGCCCCCTTTTCTCTCCTCATCAGGCGCATGGTCATTACATCACCCACCGCATACTGCTTTGTCTCCATAGCAACCACACTGCAACAACAGCAATTATCAGAAAACACCCAGAACAAGTCATAAACTCGTAATGTTTCTCTCAGGCTTTAAAAAAAAAATCACTGCCTAAATCCAAACAACTCCCTTCATCTAAAACATGATGCGTACACCATCTGAAAATGTGTTTGTTGTAAAAGACTCCTGACTGCTATATGGATAGACACTCTGTATACTGGTTCCTGTATACTTGTGTTGTTCTCTCTGAAGCTCCTGGTTCACCTCTTCAGGTCAGCGGGGTGCACGGCCTCATAYCAGATGGGACACTTGGACCAGCTCTTGTCGCTCAGAGACAGGTAGTGCAGCATGCACGGCCAGCAGAAGATGTGTCCACACCGGGTGATGCGAGCTGCCACAGGTGGATAGAGGCAGATGGGGCAGGACGGCACCTCATGGCTGTAGATGCGCTGTGGACGCATTACAATAGAAGAAAAATACATTAAAACGTGTGTAATGGGAGGAGTGTGTTTGATAAAAGAGGTTAAATGTTGATTTGATACTCACCACCTGCTGCACACAGTCCCAGTTGACCAGCGTGTCGGGATCAGTGAAGTGAGCCTTGTAGTCCTGCTCATCAGTCACCACAAACTGGCAGCTGAAACACAAAGACAACATCTCTCTCACGTGTTGGGTTTTTCTAAAGACATAAACCCGACTGRGCTGTGGTCTGCTTACTTGGCCTGCAGAAACAGCTCCTTGTTGAAAGGCTTACTCTTGTGGCCCCACTTGTTTCGACGGCCCCAATACGAGTGGCCGCCGTCTCCGACGCCATCGTTACCTCCACGGGGTTCAAACGTGAAGTTCAGCAGATGGTTCAAACTTATCTTCTTGGGTCCAGCAAACTGAGCCGGGCTAAACTCGGCCCGGCGTGTCTCTGCTACCTGGACGGCAGAAAGCKAACACAAATGATCCGTTTGACTTTAAATCAGTTTGTGGATCGCTACTGAAGAAAACCTCTTTTTCAACAAATAAGACTTTTTTTTTTAAATCAAGCAAAAAAAGATGTTCAGAACACCCACCTCCTCACGTCGTCCTCCACCTGTAACTCCATACTGTCGTCCTCCACCTCTCTGAGGGGGTCTCTTGTCAAAATTCTTGCTTTTCTGTGAATTGGTGCGGCGAGGGCCGGCGAAACTTTCTGCTTTGGGGAAGGAGGGCTCACGCTTGCGYCTGTACCGCTTAGAGCCCCCATTATTTTTACCTTCTGAAATAACAACAGTAAAGAGAGTCAGGTGTGAAAACATATAAACTTTACATTAAAAAGATGATCCTAAAAAATATATAAGAGAAATGAATTGTTCATAAACATTGTATGTAAACTGCCCTGTCAAAGGTAACACTTAGCTAAGAACCGTTTTGTTTATCTGATGAAATTAATTTATATTTTGCCTAAAATTTGAATTTTAGAAATATAATGAATCTTAATTCATCAGTCCACATTGTTTGTATCGTTCCAGTCGTACCACTGTGCTCCCTGCAATGTGAATATTCATAATTATAATATTATTAGGGGTGTCCCGATCCGATATCAATATCGGATATCGGTCCGATATCAGCCAAAAAACGAGTATCGGATTTTATCGGACTGCATAAAAAATGTCCGATATCAGCGCTCCGATATTAGCAGTCCGTTCCAGCAGTTCACTGACTCCGCTCCAGTGTTTCTATCCAGCAGAGCTTGGATCCTGCTTGNCTGTTTGATCTGATCAAGATTTTTCTAAGATTTTACTTTACAAAATAGGTAAAAGTGTGTGACTTGCACTGTTACAGTAACGGGTCAATATCGGTATCGGTCAATATCGGTATCGGACATTTCTCAAAGTTGTAATATCGGTATCGTATCGGAAGTGAAAAAGTGGTATCGGGACATCCCTAAATATTATATTAATATGTATATGTATTTTTCTTTGTGCAATGATTCACTGTTTTGCTTTCTCCTTCATTATTTTGTTTCTTTTAACAAACTCCATGTTTTCTTGTACATTTAAAATCACATTTACAGTTTTCTACATACATACATACATACATACATACATACATACATACTACAGTTATTCTTTGCCTACAGTTATTCTTTGCTTAGTTTGATTCAGAACTTAGACATTTGTCTTTTCTTTTGTAAAGTTGTCAGTTTGTTTAATTTTTTTCACAGCAAATATTCCCCACATTATTAAAGTGCATCCACCCATCTGTCAAACTTTTAACCCTCCGCAGGAACCCTGTCTTTAGTTTTGTTCGACTAATGRGGGCAATAATATTTCAACTTGTTTTTAACAGACCAGTATCTGTCTTCAAAGACCAAAAATTGTTCTTATTGARATGAAAGTATGGAGGGGGAAAAAAAGAACATTTGCTGCATCAGCTACAGCAGTGGTTCCCACAGTTGGGGTCAGGACAAAAGATTTTCTGAATTAATTACACTAAAAAATTCCAACTAACAATTGTTTGCCTTTGTTGTTACAAATGAGTAAAGTTAATGTACTTGAAATGGACAAAAAAAAAAAGAGTAATAAATATTGTTACTCTGCTCTTGTTTATTTGACGTGAAAACAAGGTTTATCAACCAACAACAGCTGGGGTCACAGGTCTCTGCTGCTGGTATTTTGTGGGTCAGAAGCTGAAAAGTTTGGGAACCACTGAGCTAGAATATAACCCATTTATTTTAGTCTGTGTCAGATGTATTTTACAACTTAAATGTTGACTAATAAACTGATTTTCACGAGTCCAACACTTGACAGAAGTCATAATGACTGGTTTGTAAAACCTAACATGACACAACATTCAGACAAAAGTTAAAAATACTGTTCACTGACTTCATAAGTGGCCATATATTGTGCATTAATAGTGTAATAAAGGTGTTTTGCATGTCTCTGCTGCAMCTCTGGCTGTAGGTGGGTCACATGTTTTGACAGCGACGTCAGTTTCTGCTGATAACCAGCCTGAGCAGGGCTGGAGGCCCAAACAGGCCACAGGCCGCAACAACAACAACACTTTACAACTTTAAATACACTGCAGCCAGCGAGTCATTGTCACCTGTTTTGGGTTTAGATTCTCCGGGCGGTGGGCCTGTAGAACTGGAACGGGGCGGAACCTTGGTGCTGGTGCTGCTGCTGGGATTCTTCTCCATGTTTGTCTCCGTGTGGTGAGCGGCGGCGCTGGGGACGAGCTGCGAGCAGAGAGCCGCCGAGCTCTCTAGCATCAAAAACAAAAACGGACGAGGAAAACGGACTGCAGTGGGTGCGGGTCAGGCGGCGAAGGCCCCGATTCATTTCTGTCAAACGCGGAGACCCCATTACGGCGACATCTTGATCACTAACCAACTCTAGAAGAAAATAAGAGACACGGTTGTAGCGTCTCAAGTTAGAAAGCCCGATAAGGAGAGGACGAAAATTCGCCACGCGGGGKCAAACCCCACCTAGATTTTTTCAGTTTTACTTGTTAAGGGAAACAATGTGCCCTTAGCAAGGCGCTAAATGTTTTCCAAAGGCTGGAAAACAAGCCAATTAAACAATTTTAGCGAATAAAATTTTGTCCGGGAGAAAAGCAAGCATGCACTAATGGCGACGGGTCGCCAGACAAGAAGCTGGGAGCCCCGGATGTTATTTGTAACGTCGGCCGAGCTGGTGGGTCCGCCTCATTTAAACCGTGGCACACCGAGGTGGTGTTTATCTGGAAAATACTGAGAATGACCCGCCACACTACTAATTAATTTAAACTATTGCACACTTATGTTGTAAACTTTTAATGATGAAATAGTTATTAATTACTTCGATAGGTTGCCCGAGGTCTACTGTGTCCATTTCTCTAGCTCTSATAAGCGATTTCCCTCCCCGCCCGTCAAGTTTAGCCCAATCTTGCGCCGGTGTGTGTCAGAAAGGAGAGCAGCCACATAAGGAGGTCAGGCAGGGCACTTCGGGAAATGTAGTACTTGCGTCTTTTTTATTTCGTTTTGTAAAGCTCGACAAAAAACTCAGGAGGATAACCATGCAAAATACATCTTAACACAACAACTTAATAAAACAGAAAATGTTTAACTAAAAATTAGCCCATCTTATTCTTCCCTARWTACATGAAAATTAGTTTTARTTTCGAAGCTTGCTTGCCTATTTATTTGTTGATTTGTTTATATTTATTTATTTATTTAAAAACACGCTCCTTATTTGGTAACACTAAACAGACTGGACCTTTATTCTGCTTTCCCTAAATTATTCATGAGACCATTTGACAAATAATCATGTTGGAATTTGACTGATTTATAGACTAGTTATATAAGACACATWTGGTCTGAATTATCAATCTCTAAAGTAAATTACAAACATTGCTATTTTTTAAATTAAAGCCTAATGATTTAAAATGTATTACAAACTACTTACTTTCCAGGCTTATCACTCACTATTTCATATTTGGATGTATGACAAGAAGGTTTAAAATATCCAAGATGACCAATACCTGAATTTTTACCTCGGAGTTTAAAAACTGGAGGTGATTACAATGCAGGTATGTCCAGCGGACGAGTAAGTATCCAGCACTTTGTTCCAGACAGTTTTAATGTCACATATTTTTGAAATAAACTGTTTTAAACTATGTTGTTTTTTCCAGTCTTGTAACAAAAATAGCCTCAACTAGGCATCTGAGCAGAAGACAGCTGTGAGGTCACTCTTCCTCATCTTCCTCACTCTCCAAGTCATCCTGAAATTCTTCTTTGGTTCCACCTGGTAGACAGCAGCTCAGGATTGCTTGGCGAACCTGCACTTTTTCTTCTGTGAATGTAAACAGAGCAGAATCCAATATGTATCAAAGAAGTGGAATCAAGCCATGCTGAAACATTCAGCTGTAAAAATGTCACAATAATACAAAGAATACAGAGAAACATGAAACTCTCAAGAGTTTTATATGAAACCCTCACCTTCGTTTTTACATTTAGGGAGCATTCGATGAAGCTGTTGGGCGTTGTATCGGATCAAAAACTTCTGACATGTTCTAATGGTTCCTGTAAAAAAGCAGATGCCCTAAATTAGAGGAGAATGACAAGTGGCATTCAATATTTCTAAAAATGTATGTTTAATTTGTTTTGAATGTGAGTTATTATTTTTACCTCCCACATGCAGACAATTTAGAAAACATGGAATTATATGCCGTCCACTTTCAATGCTGGTGATGAATGGCAAAGCAGACCAGAGGAGTTTGTAGCATCTTTTGGGGAAACGTAGAAATACTATTCCYGTATGTGCATTAAGATATTTAACTGGAAAAAATATACATATAAAAAGGATGTCAGTCGACCCCCACACTGCATAAAAAAGTGTTTACAATACTTTTTCCATCAGGACAACACTGGAACATGTCTAGTTTAAAAACTACATCTTGAAATCACATTTTGTGTATATATATATATATATACACA